GTGTGTCGCCATCACTCATACTTATTAGTGTGTGTTACCATCACTCATACTTATTAGCGTGTGTCGCCATCACTCATACTAATAGTGTGTGTTACCATCACTCATACTTATTAGTGTGTGTCGCCACCACTCATACTTATTAGTGTGTTACCATCACTCATACTTATTAGCGTGTGTCGACATCACTCATACTAATAGTGTGTGTTACCATCACCATACTTATTAGCGTGTGTCGCCATTCATACTTATTAGTGTGTGTTACCATCACTCATACTTATTAGTGTGTGTCGCCATCACTCATACTTATTAGTGTGTGTTACCATCACTCATACTTATTAGCGTGTGTCGCCATCACTCATACTTATTAGTGTGTGTCGCCATCACTCATACTTATTAGTGTGTGTTACCATCACTCATACTTATTAGCGTGTGTCGCCATCACTCATACTTATTAGTGTGTGTCGCCATCACTCATACTTATTAGTGTGTGTTACCATCACTCATACTTATTAGTGTGTGTTACCATCACTCATACTTATTAGTGTGTGTGCCATCACTCATACTTATTAGTGTGTGTTACCATCACTCATACTTATTAGTGTGTGTTACCATCACTCATACTTATTAGTGTGTGTCGCCATCACTCATACTTATTAGTGTGTGTACCATCACTCATACTTATTAGTGTGTGTTACCATCACTCATACTTATTAGTGTGTGTTACCATCACTCATACTTATTAGTGTGTGTCGCCATCACTCATACTTATTAGTGTGTGTTACCATCACTCATACTTATTAGTGTGTGTTACCATCACTCATACTTATTAGTGTGTGTCGCCATCACTCGTACTTATTAGTGTGTGTTACCATCACTCATACTTATTAGTGTGTGTTACCATCACTCATACTTATTAGTGTGTGTCACCATCACTCATACTTATTAGTGTGTGTTACCATCACTCATACTTATTAGTGTGTGTTACCATCACTCATACTTATTAGTGTGTGTCGCCATCACTCATACTTATTAGTGTGTGTTACCATCACTCATACTTATTAGTGTGTGTTACCATCACTCATACTTATTAGTGTGTGTTACCATCACTCATACTTATTAGTGTGTGTTGCCATCACTCATACTTATTAGTGTGTGTTACCATCACTCATACTTATTAGTGTGTGTTACCATCACTCATACTTATTAGTGTGTGTTAGCGTGTGTCGCCATCACTCATACTTATTAGTGTGTGTCGCCATCACCATACTTATTAGTGTGTGTTACCATCACTCATACTTATTAGTGTGTCGCCATCAATTATACTTATTAGTGTGTGTTACCACTTCACCATACTTATTAGGCGTGTGTTACCATCAATTATACTTATTAGTGTGTGTCACCAATAATTACACATATTAGTGCGTGTGTTACCATCACTATACTTACTAGTGTGTTACCATCACTCATATACTTTATTAGTGTGTGTTACCATCAATTATACTTATTAGTGTGTGTTACCACTATACTTATTAGTGTGTGTTACCATCACTCATACTTATTAGTGTGTGTTGCCATCACTCATACTTATTAGTGTGTGTTACCATCACTCATACTTATTAGTGTGTGTTACCATCACTCATACTTATTAGTGTGTGTTACCATCACTCATACTTATTAGTGTGTGTTACCATCACTCATACTTACTAGTGTGTGTTACCATCACTCATACTTATTAGTGTGTGTTACCATCACTCATACTTATTAGTGTGTGTCGCCATCACTATACTTATTAGCGTGTGTCGCCATCAATCATACTTATTAGTGTGTGTCAGCCATCACCATACTTATTAGTGTGTTACCACTATACTATAGCGTGTCGCCATCACTCTATTAGTGAGCACACCATACTTATTAGCTGTCGCCATCACTCATACTTATTAGTGTGTCGCCATCACCATACTTTATTAGTGTGTGTTACCATCACTATACTTATTAGCGTGTGTCGCCATCACCATACTTATTAGTGTGTCGCCATCACTCATACTTATTAGTGTGTTACCATCAATTATATTTATTAGTGTGTCGCCATCATACACTATTAGTGTGTCGCCATCACTCATACTTATTAGTGTGTACCATCACTTATTTCTATTAGTGTGTGTTACATCACTCATACTTATTAGCGTGTCGCCATCACTATACTTATTAGTGTGTGTCGCCATCACTCATACTTATTAGTGTGTGTTACCATCACTATACTTATTAGTGTGTGTCGCCATCAATTTTATTAGCGTGTGTCGCCATCACTCATACTTATTAGCGTGTCGCCATCACTATTTTATTAGCGTGTGTCGCCATTTATTAGTGTGTCGCCATCACTCATACTTATTAGTGTGTGTTACCATCACCATACTTATTAGCGGCTCATCACTCATACTAATAGTGTGTTACCATCACCATACTTATTAGCGTGTCGCCATCACTCATACTTATTAGTGGTTACCATCACTCACTATTAGCTGCGGTGTCGCCATCACTTATACTTATAGTGTTACCATCACTTACTTAGTGGTGTGTTACCATCACTCATACTTATAGGTGTGTTGCCATCACCATACTTATTAAGTGTGTCGCCACCACCATACTTATTAGTGTGTGTCGCCATCACCTCATACTTTACGTGTGTCGCCATCCTCATACTTATTAGTGTGTGCACCATCACCATACTTATTAGTGTGTGTTACCATCACTTATTATTTATAGCTGTGTCGCATCACTATACTTATTAGTGGTGTACCATCACTGTTAGCGTGTCGATCACTCATACTTATTAGTGTGTGTCGCCATCACTCATATACTTATTAGTGTGTGTTACCATCACTCATACTTATTAGCGTGTGGCCATCACCATACTTATTAGTGTGATGCCATCACTTATCCTTTAGTGTGTGTTACCATCACCATACTTATTAGTGTGTGTCCATCACCATACTTATTAGTGTGTGTCGCCATCACTTATACTTATTAGTGTGTGTTACCATCACTATACTTATTAGTGTGTGTTACCATCACCATACTTATTAGCGTGTCGCCATCACTCATACTTATTAGTGTGTCGCCATCACTCATACTTATTAGTGTGTGTTACCATCACTATTTATTAGTGTGTCGCCATCACTATACATAGTGTGTCGCCATCACATACTATAGTGTTACCATCATTAACTTATAGTGTGTTACCATCACCATACTTATTAGTGTGTCACATCAATTATACTTATTAGTGTGTGTTACCATACCATATTTAGTGTGTCGCCATCACTCATACTACAGTGTTACCATCATACTTATTAGCTGTGCGCCATCACTATACTTATTAGGGTGTTACCATCACTTATACTTATATGTGTGTCGCCATCACTCATACTTATTAGTGTGTGTTACCACCATACTTATTAGCGTGTGTCACATCATACTTAGTGTGTGTCGCCATCACTCATACTTATTAGTGTGTTACCATCACTTATATTTTATTAGCTGTGTCGCCATCACTCATACTTATTAGTGTGTCGCCATCACCATACTTATTAGTTACCATCACTATACTTATTAGTGTGTTACCATCACTATACTATTAGTGTGTGTTACCATCACTCATACTTTAGTGTGTGTCGCCATCACTTATACTTATTAGTGTGTGTTACCATCACTATACTTATTAGTGTGTGTTACCATCACTTATACTTATTAGTGTGTGTCGCCATCACTGTACTTATTAGTGTGTGTTACCATCACTATACTTATTAGTGTGTGTTACCATCACTTATACTTATTAGTGTGTGTGTCACCATCACTATGCTATTAGTGTGTGTTACCATCACTATACTTATTAGTGTGTGTTACCATCACTATACTATTAGTGTGTGTCGCCATCACTTATACTTATTAGTGTGTGTTACCATCACTCATACTTATTAGTGTGTGTTACCATCACTATACTTATTAGTGTGTTACCATCACTTATACTTATTAGTGTGTGTCGCCATCACTATACTTATTAGTGTGTGTTACCACTCATACTTTCTAGTGTGTGTGTTACCATCAATCATACTTATTAGCGTGTGTCGCCATCACTATACTTTTAGTGTGTGTCATCACTATACTTATTAGTGTGTGTGTACCATCAATTATACTTATTAGTGTGTGTCGCCATCACTCATACTTATTAGTGTGTGTTACCATCACTATACTTATTAGTGTGTGTTACCATCAATTATTTATTAGTGTGTGTTACCATCACTATACTTATTAGTGTGTGTTACCATCACTATACTTACTAGTGTGTGTTACCATAATTATACTTATTAGTGTGTGTTACCATCACTTATACTTATTATTAGTGTGTGTTACCATCACCATACTTATTAGTGTGTGTTACCATCACTATACTTACTAGTGTGTGTCTACCAATTATACTTATTAGGTGTGTTACCATCACTTATACTTATTAGTGTGTGTTACCATCACTCATACTTATTAGTGTGTGTCTAACTCATACTTATTAGTGTGTGCTACCATCACTCATACTTACTAGTGTGTGTTACCATCACTCATACTTATTAGTGTGTGTTACCATCACTCATACTTATTAGTGTGTGTCGCCATCACTTACACTTGTCAGTGTGTCCCATTAGTACTCTAAGTCTGCAAGTTATTTAACTTACAGACTATTTGCATCTCCTAAAGGACTCTTGCTAGCAGCTGAGGAATTTTACCAGTACTTGAATGGAGTCACCAGGAGTATCTGAAGTAATGGAAGCCATTCTTATCGGAGGTGAAGAGTACCAGAAGGATGTCTACTTTAATGGTGTCAACAGTCATTAGTACTTGGAAGTTTCAGCAAAATGTGAAAGAGATCAACTGTGGCCGGAGTCTGAGGCACTTGAAAAGGGGCATTAGTAGTAAAAAAAGATCAGCAACCTCATGGGAATCGACATTACCTAAAAGACTGAGCGGCGTCGTATACATCGGCCGGGGCGTCCTGGTCCTGACCCAAGACGATACTTCCGTTGACATCCATCAGGGCGGAGTCCGTGGAGTGCGCCGTGCCACCACGCTCCACATCATCCTGCATGATGGAGGTGTGTGAGTGGTTATAACAAGACTCGGCTGTCTAATCTGAGGTGCTAAATGTTAGTCAGAAACTCTCATGTCCACCTAACAAAAACTTGTATGTCGGTTATTGTCATCGGGATAAACTTAAGAATCAAAAACTAACTTCAATCCTGTAGTGAGCACTGACCTTTCGAGTTCTTTGCGTGTGATATACTATATATATATATATATATATATATATATATATATATATATATATATATATATATATATATATATATATATATATATATATATATATATATAATTATGTCATAGGAGGAAAGATCAGCTAAAACTAATGGCCCATCACTTTTTTGGTAGATTTTGAGTATATATCAACAAAGTATTTAGGTTCAATATTTTGCAGCCTTTGCTAAGAGTAAATTTTAGCGTGAAATTTATCGAAAATCTAGCGTACAACTGCATTAGTGCATTACAATTAGTAGTAGACATTGCTCCTTTGACTTCATTCTTTAACAACCCAACTAACAATATTTTTTCTGTTTCAGATTCTGATGCATTTATAAGTTGATAATATTTGCAGTATTAGCATGTCAGGACGAGGAACCAAATATCCAACCATCTCAGTGCTATCTTGGGTCTGGGAGAGAGCTCCTGAAGTCAGGTTGCCTGCGTTTGAGATGCTTTTGGATGCAGTGTTTTTAATCAGGCAAATCAGTGAAAAGAACCAAGAACTTACACCGTGAACATTGCAATGCAATGCATTGACTGTCTTCAGCACAGTACCTCTATTGCACTCCATTCAAACTCCAGTCATAACAAGTCAGAAGATTGATGGAGACTGCTAGCCAGTTGGGAAAGAGCAGAGATATCTCTCTTGGGAGAGAAGCTTTGCAGTTGGAGACAGCTGCCAACAACTGGACCAGTTATTTGACATAATTACTTACGTGCTAATTGTTCTCTGTCCTGAGTTTGGGATGCGATCGTGACTTGTAAATCCGGGGCCCACATCTCCTGTATTTGCAAGCGTGAACTGAAGATTCCTGTGATCGAACTGGCATTTGTCAAAGCACAGAGAGAAGGGCTTCAGCAACGTATAAAGGGGCTCATGATTTAGCAAGATATTCCGGAGTCAGAGACGGAGGCTGCCACAGAAGACAGAACCAGAAGAGTTGCAGGAGAAAAGACAGAAGGCCCAGGGTGAGGTAAAAAAGGCCGATGATTGGAGTCAAGCTGATTCAGGTTTAATGACTTTATGGCTGATCCGAGAGTGCTGACCAGGAGAATGGTGACTTTGTCCCTAACCCGAAAATAATGGTCTGACCCTTCCAGGCATAAGTTCGAAATAGGAAAGATATATCCAGGCATGACCAGCAACATAAAACACCACACTGGTCTCAGAGAAACTGCAGAGATAGCAACAGCTACACTGGATTGACGATGGTTTGATAACACTGATGATGTTCACCTGGTGATGAGTCATAACAAAGTAAGGAGAGCTCAGGAGAAACTTGTCAGTAACCTAGAGAGCGTTTGATAAGGGGAGATGAAAATGGAATCAATTGTTTGTTCTTTTGATGGGAAGGATGACACTAAAAGTGTTCATGAAAGTTGGAATTCTGACAAGTTGTTCCCTGCCATGGCAGAGGAGGAACACTACTCCTGCTGCAGTAGACAGGAGGGAAGTGTTGTGGCATTTCAACCAGAAGAATGATAGAAACCAGCTGAGATAGTGACAGTAACGGCTATGGGCAAAACAGAGAGAGAGGAACGTAGACCAGACCCTGCAGGTCATTGGAGAGGACAGCACCAACACGAACACAGGGTGGCAAGGGGGGGTCATACAGTGGATAGAGCGGAAGATTGTGAGGAAGCTGGTCTGGATTGTTTGTGACCTCCACACCAACGAGTTGCCACTCAGACATCTGATCCAGGAGCTGGATGGCAAGACTCTTTCAAACAACAGATGGTCTGGTCCTCTTGGCAAGATGCTGGACTCTACCACTGAGTTAGAAATAAATCCGAGCTTTGAAAAAATCACAGTTGGCCCTCCACTCGTTGAGCTTGCACATACTGTCATTGACGACCTGAGTACTGACCAGTACTATGGTTACTGATTTGGTGCCATCAAAACTGGGGTCATGCCTGATTGCTTACCTGCAGATAGGTCCAGTCTCACATTCTAGGTGGCTCACAACGGCTCTCAGGTTCTGCAGAATTTGGGTCGCCATCATAAACTGAAAGGGAACCAGCTTCACAACCTGAGACTTATTGTCCATTCATCTGTGAGTGTCTACTTGCCAAATTGGTTCAACACCAAGGTCAAGTCATCGTTCTCCGAAGGTCCGAGGCATGTTTTCTTCCAGCTTGAGCTCCTGAGGAGTCAGCCAAGGAAGGTTGTTCAGATTGTGGAGCAGACTGTGAGGAGATATTCCTGGTATGCTCATCCTGAGGCAGTTCTGCAGACAATGCTCTGCAGTAAGGATGAGGAGGAGAGAAGAGTGGCAGTCAAAAAGATCTTGGATATGAGACTTATGAGAGGATCTGGGCATGACGAATCAGTTGGTGACGATTCCTTCAGGGTCAGGAAGACTCCTGAAGTCAATCTAGGTGCCAAGACCCTCACTGATCTCATAGATCTGGATAACATCCAGGCTGGCAGTGAGCCCCCTCTTACCTGCAGCCTCACCAATGTTCAAGTCAGAGCTTTCCTGGACAACCCCATGCATGTCCCTGCCTGGCCCTCGCACACCCAGAGTATAGAGCGTTGTGTACAGCAAGTGAGCGAGGCCAGCAGTCACGTGTACAGCCAGGAGAGGAGGGAAGGCTACATCCGAGCTCAGGTGGTCAGCAGGGAGGTGATGAGTAGAAACAGAAGCAAGAAAGACATGTTCTCTATGGTGTGCAGCAACACCGGGTCGTAGTAGTAAAACCGGTTTTTGTATTTGATGATTTTGTTTTCTAAAGGAATATTAAATTTAATAAATGTGTCAAGATCATTCGTTTCACTATTCTGGATCATTTTCATCCTAATAAATTAATCTGATACATTTACTTTACTTTAAATAAGCTATTTAGTGGTGTTGGTAAAAGGGTGGGAATACTGAATTTTCATAAGATTTCAAGTTAAAATTTACCTAGCAAAAAATGAAAACTTTTCAAATCTGAAGATATCACATGATTCTGCTCATAGAACTACATCATTAATACTATGGGCCGATTTTTCAAACTAAAAAAAAAAAAATTCGCCTCCGTATGACACACCCTAATATATATATATATATATATATATATATATATATATATATATATATATATATATATATATATATATATATATATATATATATATATATATATATATATATATATATATATATATATATATATATATATATATATATATATATATATATATATATATATATATATATTTAGACTGAACTATTTTCACCACATCCATATGGTTAATTCTGAATCATTTCTCCCCTTTTGGGGATATATATTTTGTTGATACGTACACACACAACACACATGATCTGCGACCTTCACCTGTGATCTTTGTTTTCAATAATTAAGTTTACATTTCTGGTCTATCGCCAAATTCTTCTGTTAAATTTAATTTTAATAGGTAAATTACATATGTTTTTTTTCCTTTTCGAAATTTGCCAAAGATGATAAGAAGAATCCTTCAGTTGTAGCAGCGATAATTATCACAACGTCATGAAACCTAAGTTATGTCTTTATTACCTAATATCCCAGCTGCTATGTTTCATTAAAGTAACTCCTGCATAATATGGTTCTATCTTTGATCCTTGGCCTAGGACTTGTGATCTTATCCTTTCGAATAGATCTATCCTACTATCATCCTACTATATGACGTGTTTCGTTAAAGCTGACAAATTCGGTTTTGGACATATACTATACATACGTAAACAAAAGCGCAAAGCCAAATAAACACTGTGAAACGATAAGGCCTTTGTTTCTCAGTTGGGGGTTAATATGCCCGTGCAGTTTATATCAAACGCGAACTTCCTTAACTCGACAAGGATGAACTAAGTAGCGTCCAATCCTAAAATATTAGCCATGTCAGAAGACTGAGACTGACATTTTTTTTTTAACCGATTTGTACGTAGGATGTTACCTGCGCGGACCTTAAGCTAAATTTCTGGTCCGCCCACTGCTGGGAAAACCCCAGTTTTTTTTTCTTTCTTTTTTTGGGTGTGATGCTCGGTAAGAAACCATAAAGTTTCTTGCAACTGGTTGGTGGTTAGTCTTTTGGCAACATTCTCTGCTGTGACAGGGAGTGTAAGATTCTCCAAGCTAATTGTGTTACAGGCCACCATGAGGTAGTGTTGCAGTGAGTTTTCTGGTTCTCTGTCGCAGGTCTTACATGTGTGTTCCTCTGGTGGTACTTCTATAACCATTTCCCATTTAGATGGGTAGCCCAGTCTCAATCGGTGAAAGATGCTTTCTTCCCATCTTGTCATCCTTCATGAGTGGTGGTCTCTCATAATTCGTGACCAGATAGTACCACCTGGTCGATCGTGATTCTGGTGTTAATCTTCTATGTTTTTCTATATTCAACTGGGCATTTCGTGTTATTGTGGCTTTCTTTATCTGCTCCTGACTGGGTGGGATGTCCATCTCGATATTTTGCTGTCCTAGAGCAGTCTTGGTAGCATCATCAGCTCGTTCATTCCCTGATATTATGACATGACTGGGCACCCAGTTGATGGTAACTTGCCTATCTTGTCTCTTAACCCTTGCAGTAGGCCAACAACGGATGCTATGAGATTAATGTTGTCTCTCGGGTTTCTACATTGTAGAGTTTTAATAGCATATCATGAGTCAGTGTGTATTACAACATTCTGTTGACTGTTTATGGAAGCGTGTCGTAGGGCTCCAAGTATGGCAGCAAGCTCAACTTGTAAAGTGGAGCATCCACCTGAAGTTTTCCAAGAGACTGTCTTACCCCCTTCTATGGTGAAGGCTGCTCCTGCCTACGTA